TTGGTTTGTATTAATAAAGGTAAATTGATGTACTGTATATGGTAAAATGTTTAAATGCATATTTGCTATGGTTAACTTTGGATGTAAGTATTATTTGGTATGTATAAATGTTGTTGTGTATTTTATGCAGGTTGTTTTTTTGGTGAAAAGCACTTTTAGCTTTCCCCCTACAAAACAACTTTTAAAGAGGGGAGGTGTTACATAACAGCACTGATGTTACCTGTCTGTCATGGGTTTGGAGGGAAAGTTCCATCCTATGGGGAGTGGAAGGCGGGACATCAGGAGGAGGGGCTGTACTGTATAAATATGTGATGCCTGTGTGGTGAAGAGGAGATGCTGAGACAGACTGTGAGACACTGGGTTGGGACTAAGCAGCAGCTGGGGAAGAAGAAGCTGTTGTGGGAGTCTGTGTGTCAGACAGGGTACTTCTGTGTGTCAGAGTACCAACCTGATAGGTTCAGGTGTCTGTGGGTTAGCCAGAACTGATGGGTTCAGGGTCTGTGCTTTAAGTTAAAGGTTCTAGGTGAACCAAACTGTATGCTTGTGTGTGTGAGAATAAGCCACGTTACTTTATTTTATTCACCTGATTGTTTTATTTACCCTGTTTGTATTTAAAATAAACCTTATTCTTTTACTGTTTAAAAATCCATCCCTGGTCTGTGTGACTTTTTATAGGGAATGGTTGGTGGCAGCTTAGTGTAACTGTGTGGCAGATCCCAGTAGGTCTGGGTTTGTCACAGATGGTAGAGGAGTGGTTTTTGCTTCCTGTGTGAGAGGGTTTATATATATATATATATATTTGAAAACCTCTGTCTGGCTTTGCCTCAGTCTAAACATCCTGACTTCTTTGACCCATTATTTACAGAGTTTGGTTTTCCCTGCCCTTCCTGCTTTCATTAGCATCTTCTGAACCCCTTCTAGTTTGACTCTGTCGTGTATAAAGTCTGAGATTCAGAAATGAACAAAAGTACCCCCATGTGAGGGCTGACCTGTACTGGAACCCGCACGCTTTGCAATTCAAAGACTGTTGTTTAGATGAGGCAGCTTAAAAGGTGCACCAGCTGCTTTTTTGGCTGCAAGGGCAGTATTAACAAAGGAGACACATGCTCATCTCACTCCTGAGATCCATTACTAGTGCCTTGCCATCAAACCGGATATTCTTCCATCCTCTCTGCATGTATGTCAGTCATGTGGGGGAGGAGGAAATACCACAACTTTCCAGTGGTCTCTTGAGCTTTATTTGGTTTATCAGGCTGGTTCCCCATTTCATTAGGGTCACTTTGAATTTTATTCCTGTCTTCTGAAGGGTTTGCTGTGCCTCTCAGTTCTGCCCTTTCCACGTATTGAAGAGATTCATCCCAAGTACAAGATCTTACTGGTAACCTTCCAGTTTGATGAGAACTGTTGGACATTTTAACTTTGGATATGGGTTTCCAGCTAATTATGAATTGACCTTATCAGTGCCATCATTTAGCCTGCATTTACACAGTCACTGAAGCACAGGAGGCTTGAGATTCATCCAGTTATTGGGTTTGTATTCATGGTGGGGAAAGTGAAAGGTTTTCTTTTGTAATACACACACATTCAGAAAAGAGTGAATGAAGAATTCTCCAGTAAATAAAGTGGCCCTAAGTATTTTCTAATTTCTGTAGTATGTACCAACAGACTTGGTTCCCCCCCTACACCTCCTGTTTGGTACTCAGAGTTACGCAGTTAGGTCCAGACATTCATGTTACAGTGAAATAATGACTATGGGCTTAAAGTGCAGACTCTCAGCTTTAATTTGGTGGCATTCACATCCAGATTAGAGGAAGGGTTTAAGAATTAGCTATTTAATATGTAGCCCCCTCTTTTTTCAGGGAAACAAAAGTAATTGGATAGTTGACTCAAAAGCTGTTTCATGGACTGGTATGGGTTATTCCTTCATTATTTCATCCTCAATTAAGCAGGTAAAAGGTCTGGAGTTGATTCCAGGTGTGGCATTCCCATTTGGAGCTATGAACTCACAACATGAGTTCAAAGGAGCTCTTAATGCAAGTGAAATAGGCCATCCTTAGGCTGCAAAAAGAAAAAAAGAAAAAAGAAACAAAAAGAAAAGAGAGAGAGAGAGAGAGAGGAAAGGAATCCGACAGAGAGGAAAAAAGAAAAGAGAGAGAGAAAGAGAGAGGAAAGGAATCTGACAGAGAGACAGCAGGAACATGAGTGGCCAAATCAACAGTTTGGCACATTATGAGAAAAAAGAACCCACTGGTGAACTCGGCAACACAAAAAGGCCTGGACGTCCACAGAAGACAAGCGTGGTGGACGATCGTAGGATCCTTTCCATGGTAAAGAAAAACCACAACATCCAGCCAAGTGAGGAACACTCTCCAGAAGGTAGGCATATCATTATCCAAGTCTACTATAAAGAGAAGACTTCACAAGAGCAAATACAGAGGATTCATTACAACGTGCAAAACATGCATACTCCTCAAGAATAAAAAGGCCAGATTAGACTTTGCCAAAAAATACCTTTAAAAGCCAACACAGTTCTAGAGCAGAATTCTTTGGACAGATGAAACTAAGATCAACTTCTGCCAGAATGATGGGAGGAAAAAAGTATGGAGAAAGCTTAGAACGGTTCATGATCTGAAGCATACCACATCATCTGTGAAACACGGTGGAGGCAGTATGATGTCATGGGGCCTGTATGGCTTCCAGTGGCACTGGCTCACTAGTGTTTATTGATGATATGACAGAAGACAGAAGTGGCCGGATGAAGTGTATAGGAATATATTGTCTGCTCAGGTTCGGACAAATTCAGCAAAGTTAATTAGATTGTGCTTCACTTCACAGATGGGCAGTGACCCAAAACATACTGCAGAAGCAAACCAGGAGTTTTTTTTAAGGCAAAGAAGTGCAGTACAGTATTCTGAAATGGCCGAGTCCATCACCTGATCTCAGCCTGAAGAATCATGCATTTCACTTGCTGAAGACAAAACTTAAAGTACAAACAACAACTGAAGACAGCTGCAGCAAAGGCCTGGCAAAGCATTAGGAAACATGGGGTTTGGTGATGTCCATGAACTCCAGACTTCAAGAAGTCATTGCCTGCAGAGGATTCTCAACAAAGTATTTAAAATGGACATTTTATTTATGATTGTGTTGTCCAGTTACGTTTGAGCCCTTGAAAAAAAGCCCCTAAACTGGTATCAGTTCCTAAACGTTTCATACAATAATTTTGTTTAACCCTTTAAAGATGATACTCTGCACTTCAGTTGCATCTCAGTGGTTTCATTTCAACTCCATTGTGGTGGCATACAGAACTAGAATTATGAAAATTGTGTCAGTGTCCAATTATTTCCAGACCTAATTGTATTTCCATGTGTGTAACAGCAAATGGTGTTTCATTTTTAAGTATATCACTCAATTATGGCTGTCATTTTCTGTAAATATGTGTGTGGACTAACATCCTGTGTGTAGTGGTGTTGAGAATTTTGAGAACCACTGTGTAACAAGGCTATTAGATGTAAAGGTTACATCAGACTTCGCTACAGTCACCAAAGCCTTTGGTGGTTATTTGCCTAGGTTGACCACTGCCTGTTTGGCTCGGTGATTATACCAGATTCTAAATATTAACTTATGGATGGGGCTGATTAAAGAGAACTGATGGGCTGGTGTGACTGAAATATTTAAAGCATAAAAAGAAATGACCATACTGGTACATTTTAATGAAAAGGTATCTGTGCCCAGCCTCATCTGGTTTTCACGTGACACTGTTACTTGAAGCAAATACTGCTTTGAAAACTACAGATGCACTTTTGATGACTGCTCTCTAAGGGACGAGAGGCCAGATGCAAAATTAAGAGTAATTTGAGCCAGAATGTTAGTTGTAATTATAATGGTGCCATAGTTACTGTGTGACTTTTTTCCTAGCAGAATTCACTGCAATCTCTAGTCTAGAAGTGGAAAGGCTTTTTAAAAAAGCCATTGAGCTTATTTTAAATCTTTTGAAGGAAGCAGACTTAGAAAGCACAGGCTCCCTTTATATCCTTTTCTGTACCACCACCAAATGCTTTGAAAGTAGAGGAGGATCACTGGGCTTCAAGCCTCATTTCCAGCCCATCCTGCTGCCCCAAAGCAGATTCTTTTACATCAATTCCTTCTCAGACAAGACCCAATGTCACCAGTTAGAGTGGGCCACAGATGCAAAGCAGCAGCTCGCACCAATCTTCTAGCATGGCGCAGGCAATATGGAGCCCTCCATGTGTTTTGTACTATAACTCCCCTAATCCCTGATAATTGGCCACACAGTCTGGAGCCCATGCCTGCCTCCTGCATAAAGCCAGTGCCTCCCTCTCACTTTCATAGGCTCTAATCATCCTGTTCTCCTTTTTGCTTCCCAATGTAGTTGCCTTTCCTTTAAATCCTCAGAAAGATTTCCTCTTATCAAATGCAGCTAGTCCATATTAGGGTGAAGTGTAATTCTAAATTTCCCTTTAGCCATGAAATACCTGGGGCAACTTGCCTGAAAAAAAACTGGGGTGAGGATATGAAGGACCTTTTGCTACCTGGAAGCAGGGCAGGATAAAGACGTCTAATCCTAAGAATGTTGAAAATGCCCTTAGTCAATGGCATAACAACCCGATCACTGATCCAGTTCGGCATTCCCCCATGCCTGGAATGAACGGTTGCTAATGACAAGCAATTTGACAACCAACTGGTTTGTAAATCTTTTTATTAAAAGAGTTGTTTCCCACAGTAGTAAAGCTTTGGCACTTACAGTATAAAAAATAATCACTGATCATAATTATACCAGATTCCTCTGTCAACGGTGTACTAAATGTCTTTTAATATAATTTCCTGTAGAAAAACACTGAGGCAGGCGGGGAGGGAGGGAGAAGAAAGATCCACATTGATAAATAACAGTACGAGATACAAACATACCGCTAGGGAAAGAAACTAGGATAATTTAGAAAGATTAGAACTGTGCATATTTTAAATATCACAGTGATAGGGTATGCAGTTTCTACTGATAGCTGCACTGTTAGGTGAACACAGAATTCAGGGATTTCATTCCCTGCTCTCTGTTTTTGGGGAGCCGCCTCCCCACAGCCTTTGATGGTTTCTCGTGTAATGCTTACTGATGGCCGAGCAGTTTCTGAGTTAGTAAAGAGTTGTCTTGGGGAGAATACTGAATGGTATTGAAACACTTAAGAGCAAAACAAACAACCCCAGACAACATAAACTATCTGTTGTGAAAAGAACTCTTGAGACTCTCCAAAGATGGCCGCCCTTGGAGAAGCTGTGAATTGAGCAAAAAAGCTGAGAAAGGGGCCTGGCCACCTTGCAAAAAAAGAGAAAAAGATCTGCCTCCTTCTAGCAGCGTTCTAGAGTGGACAGTCTTGGCAAGTTGACCCTTCTTGGCTGTTCTTCAGTCTGGGTGGGTGTTAATCTCCTCGCCGGATTTGCGCGTCTGATTGTAGATGTAACGGGTAGAAGCACTCGATTGGACAATGGACATTCTGTTGGGAATAAGGTGGAGGATTAAAAAACATATCAACGCTCCCAATTCTATACAAGGCAACAGGCACCTTGTTCAGACAGATTACAAAGAATGTGCAATTCACACTGTGGGCTGTAAATAAAAGACCTGGGGGGGGGGAGGGATTGGGGATAACTGATTTGATCAGAGGATTGACTTAACACAGCTACTTGGACTTGCATCCTGTATAAAGTGCTGTTAAAATGCTTTGTATCAGTTCATTTCTACCACAAGGAATGGAAATGTTCCCATATTGTTCATCTTACTTCCTGTCACTCTCATATAATGATATTGGATTTGACACTGATGATTAAACATCCTTTCATCTCCAGACAGCCCCACTTCACTTTTCTGTCTCTCTCCCTGCCCCCTGCCCCACTCGCAATTCACTGAGGAATCTCACAAGAACAAGTCTATTAACACAGTCTATTACACAGAGCCTCGTGGTGCAGTGGTTAAACCACTGTACTGCAGCCAAAACTGTGCTCACGACCTGGGGTTCAAATCCCAGGTAGCCGGCTCAAGGTTGACTCAGCCTTCTATCCTTCCGACGTCGGTAAAATGAGTACCCAGCTTGCGGGGGGGCGGGGCAATGTGTATTTTGCATAATTAACTTGTAAACTGCCCAGAGAGTGCTTGAAGCACTATGGGGGGGTATATAAGCAGCACACTTTGCTTTTGCTTTTTGCTTTAACAGGCAAAAGAGACCTACATTTGCAACAAAGTTCATATAATAAAGTGACACTTCCAGAAGTCACTACATGACGGTATAGGCTGGCAGTCCTTCAGTATTTTTGCTTATTGAGGATGGGTTTGGTGAAGCCCCATCCAATGGCTGAACTTGGTGGCAAAGGGCCCTCCAAGTATTTTTGGACTGCAACTCCCACCAGAATTGGCCAACACAGTTAAGAGCAAGAAGTACGGGAAGCTGCAGCTCAACCGCTGGAGGACCAGACTGCACTAGACGGCTAAAGCAACCCTAGATATGACCCACGTCTTCTATGGGAAACCAACACATTAAGTTCAGGATGTGATAAAAGGAAGGTGGGCATGCATTGCTTGCTTAGAGGGAAATCTAAAGGCCATTGATAAAAAAAAAATACTGAGCGATCTGCAAGAGACACGCTGTCACACAGATGGGGATTCTGTACTTACAGTATTGGTCGTCTGTGGCTGTCTCTGTGTGTGCTGGGGATAGGTATGTCCAGGGGAACCTTCAGGTGAGCTTGCAGCACCAGGTCTGCGGCAGTTGTCACAACGCCAGCCCTTTTTAGAAAAACAAAAAATGCTCAGCACATGTTACACAGTGGCCACCACCTAGAAAGTGGCAATGATGTGTTCCTCTTGAGCGTGGCTGTCCCTGCTGTGATGAGGTTTTTGAAATAACATGTGATAATAGGCGACGACCACTGCTTAACAGAGAACTGTTAAAAGGAGAAGTGGATACACTTGATACCACTTCACAGCTGTTACTGTGTGCTTGTGTTGTCACCCCTCAAGATCCCTCTTAATTTATGTTTGGATCACTGGTTTCTGCCCGTGGGAATCAAGAAACCCTAACTGTATATGCAAGTAATTTATGTTTGGATCACTGGTTTCTGCCTGACCAAAGCCTGTGGGAATCAAGAAACCCTAACTGTATATCACAATCTGAATAAGGTAGAAGTGCTGGTTCCATCCCAGTGTTAAGTTCATTTACAGTGTTTTCACTTGGCAGAGATGTACAGTTAGATTTATTCCTCTCTTGCCATCATTTAGCAGCTATGGAACCTGGCCAAATGAAAGACACATTAAGCCATACGAATTCAAGCTGACGCAACCAGTGCTGTACCACCTGAGTAGGTTTTGGTGACCTTCACACAGTACTGCAAATACTCGTTTCTCAACATGATGGCCAAGGTTGGTCAATCAAACACGAGCGTGATGGTGAAACAGGGCAAAAGGCCCAAATCCCACAGAATTTTTTTTTCTCACCTAATTTCCCTGTTAATAATTTCATGTGCTTTTCCTGCTGTGGTTCATTAACTCCTAAAATGTAATGCGCTATGAATATAAAGACCACAGAGATCAAAATCCTGCGTAAAAGCATCTGGTAAGATTCTGAAGCTAAGTGTGCCTTTCCTTCCCCTGCCCCTCCTTCTCACTAGATCAACCCATGATCTCTATTAATAGCTCTCAACATAGGTAGAGAAATGCTTACCTGCTGTCCTCCATAACAAGTGCAGGAGCAGATGGCCCCAAGGTATTCTTTCTGCCACTGCTCTCCAACTTGGTATGTTTTGCCCTCATCGTAGCAAGTTGCTTCATCTGCCCAATGAAACAAACAAACAAACAAACAAACATGATCAAGATACAAAGCATCTTGCACCTCAACACTCACTCTACGGGACCGTGAGTCCGCTCAAGAATTTCCAGCATAGGTGCTAGATCCATGAGGTAACATGGAGAGAGGGGCAATTAAAACTGGGCAGAAGTTAGATCCTTCAGTCTTTGCTTGTTACAGAACATAGGACTGACTAGTCACCCATGTCAGCTTGTCTCCATCTTTTCCTGCTCCTCTTCAACAGTTAAACACTCTTGTAGTAGGGAACAAAAATTGTTCTGTAGAACAGGAATCAGAGCCCAACTTTTCATACTGGAGGCACTTAATTGGACTATTTTGAATTCAGATAATAAAAATTCCACTTTTCACAGGAAGAATGCAAGGAAATAAAGAGCTATTAGTAGACAATGCCAGAATACATGAAATATTACTCTTATAGATCAAGAAAAGTGCTGTCCATACATACGGGCTTCACACTTGAATTCTCCTTTTCCATTTCCCAGGCAGGTGCAGCTCATCATCTGTCCATTCTCGCCCTGCCTGTCCCACTTCTCGCCAATCTTATAGTTCACGCCACTGTCATGACACCACTCTGAGCAAAACAAAGGGAATGGCAGTCAGATCAATAGAAGGAAGACAAATCACCTGGCACTGCGGCCGGTGGCTCTTGAGCATTGTTTGACATCTCGTGTTGATTACTGGTTGTCTATTGGGGGCCTGGCCATCTAAAAAAGTCTGTGATTTTTTGCAGATGGTGCTGTTATGCAAAGCCATATTTTAACCATGACAAAGCAAGATATTCTCTCCAGAAACCACAGCAGTCAAGTGAAAATGAGAAAGTGGGCCTTCTAATGCACAGAGTAGGCAGAAGTTGTTGTTGCTCACTTCTCTTAGAAAATATCCTTTGCCTCTGTGAAGGAACACTGGGGCGAGGAGATTGGGGGGGGGGAGGATTTAAACCACACCCATTTGCTATTGGTCTCCACAATTTCTTCCCTACTCTTAAACTGGGAAAGCACCTCTTCCAGGAAATGCCAGGAGCCTTTGAATAATGGAGATCATCTGATACAACTGTGAAAACACAGGTGGATGATTACTTGACTTATGCTTGGCACAGGAGGATCAATTTTCAGAATCTCCTGAGAGAACTGTGTGTCTGAACGCTGAAAAAAAGAGGAGCCAAATCAACAAAAGAAGCTACTCACTTGACGAGTCACATCTGAAATGTCCACTGCCGAGGCCTAAACACTGGCACCAGAGTTTAAATCCAGTCTCAGACATTCTTTCCCACTCTTCCCCAACAGAGTAGAATGACCCAGTAAAAGTATCATAGCATGAATCATCTGTGGGTTGGTTTAACCTTTCGGAAACTGGAAAGTTAAAAAAAAAAGAGAGTGTGAAGTTATATAACAACCTGCAGGACCTTTCAGATTTGTTTTTCCTGCCCCAAAAGGCTGCCAGGGATAAAGATGCTGCTTTTCACTAAGAAACCGATCTCTTTGGAATGACGATTCTCTGTGAGCAAGACCACAGCCTGGAATTCTCCACTTAAGGCACACACGTTCTCCCACCCGGACTTCCTCCATGCTCTCTGCCATGACCCCAGCCAAGTGGGCACAAGTGAATGCTTCTCCACCCATTCTACTACAGACGTCCCAGCAAGGCAGGGTGTGAAAAAGGATTATAGGGGAGGGTAATAATTGGGTTCATGCAGACACTTGCTCCATCTCAGAAGAAAAAAAAGCCTATGAGAAAGAAGTGGTTACCCTCAGCTGCCCTTTTCTTAGCTGCAAGCAGGCACCTGCAGGGTGTCCCAAGTTCAACCCTGGGCCTCTCCAAGCAGGGCTGGGAAAGACCCCTTGTCTGGAGTGCTGCAGAGTTGCTCCCCGTCACATACGTTTGGAGGGCAGCTCCCTCATCACCAGCTATGCTGGCAGAGGCTCATGGCAGCAACAGGCAAAACCACATAAATGTTCATTTCAGACTTACTTTCCTACCCCATGTTCTCTCCTGCCTAAAAACAGTACATGAGACAGCTAACCTACCTTGGCCCCTTGAAACGTACAGTGGGGTCTCGACTTACGAACTTAATCCGTATTGGAAGGCAGTTCTCAGGTCGAAAAGTTCTTAAGTCAAATCTGCATTTCCCATAGGAATGCATTGAAAACCATTTAATATGTATCTGCTCTTTTCGTCCATAGAAACTAATGGGAAGCTGCTATTCCGCCTTCTGCCACTAGAGGGGGATATTTTTTCTTTTTTTTCTTTTAACCTAAGATGACTTAGCTTTTAAAAAAAGGGAAAAAAAGAGTTCGTAACTCGAATCTAAGTTCGTAAGTCGAGTCCATATAGTCCTATGAGAGTGGTTTGTAAGTCGAAACGTTCGTATGTCGAGCCGTTCGTAAGTCGAGACCCCACTGTAGATGAAAGGGGAGAATAAGGAAAATACACTTTTGAAAAGAAGAAAAACAGGAGAACTTGCATGGTGCAGAATAGGATTCACTTCCATTGGGTAACCTTGAATCCATCCATTTTTCTCAGCCTGGCCTACCTCACCACTTGCTAGGACAAGCAGAGATGGATGCACACATGCTTATGTTGGGGGTGAACTATGTACACCACAATAGGATTCACTTCCATTGGGTAACCTTGAATCCATCCGTTTTTCTCAGCCTAGCCTACCTCACCACTTGCTAGGACAAACAGAGATGGATGCAGACATGCTTATGTTGGGCGTGATCCATGTACACCACTCTCAGAGCCAGGAAAGAATGGCAGGGCTTAAATTCAATAGCTAAAACAATTAAGAAAAAGATAACTCAGGGCAGAGGAACTTCCATTGGGTAACCTTGAATCCATCCGTTTTTCTCAGCCTAGCCTACCTCACCACTTGCTAGGACAAACAGAGATGGATGCAGACATGCTTATGTTGGGCGTGATCCATGTACACCACTCTCAGAGCCAGGAAAGAATGGCAGGGCTTAAATTCAATAGCTAAAACAATTAAGAAAAAGATAACTCAGGGCAGAGGAGTCACTTTTGGAACTACAACTCCCCAAATCCCCTCATCATCATATCTACTAGCCATGCTAATTGGGGGATTCTGGGAGTTATAGTCCAAATAGTAACTTTTTCAATCTCTGCCATTGCAAAAATATTTCCCCCTCACCTTAACAGAATACACAAATGTCTCATTTACACTCCCCGCCCACAAATGCTGTTCCACTTACCAGTATTACCCACTGTGACCACCTCTTCAAGAATTTTATGCCTGCGACGATTTTTAATTGCTTCCACAATGATGTTATATGTGGCCCCTCTTGTAAGACCAGTGAGAGTAGCACTAGAATATGTGCCGGGGACTTTGATCTGCAGGGTGAGAAAAATGTGAAAGACTCCAATGATGTCTTTTCCTTTTTCAAAGAGGAAAAGCCTGCCTCCAAAAGTTTTATAGCCAATATGTTCTATGGACTTTGTGGTTTTCTGTTTCTGTTTTTGCAGAATCCAATACAGAGGTAGCTTCTGTTTATGCAGATGCACCATTGGTAGATGGGGAGCACCTTGATTCGGTTCTTGCACACACAACACCTTCTCCCTTTCCTATGCATACAACTGCAGCACTCAACAAGAACAGGAAGGGATGAAGGGGGTCAGGTTGCCAGTGGGCCCAGTTTCTGATGCCACTGTAGAGGTGGCATGCTGCAACCCATGGGTGTTTTGTGTGCTCAGCTACCAGGGAACAGCCTCCAGGGAATTTTAGTCCCAAACTGTAATTTTATGCATTTAGGAACTAGTTTTAGCCACCCATCCCATTCCACTCCTGCCATTATCTCCCTTTCTGTCTTTGACTGTAAGTTCCCAAGAGAGAGGAGCCTGCTTTGTGTCTCTATGGAACTGCAAAGTGGCAGTATTACTGATGACGGCATAGTAATAACTGGGGCAATGCAGCATCCAAACTCTGTGAGTGCTTTTGGAAACAAATAAAACACAGTTACCTCTGTTGTTTCCTCTTCAGTGGTAACAGGCTGACAGGAGATGATGTATTCAGAGCTCTCTGAATAGGGTGTCCATGAGATGGTTGTCTCAGACAGGGCTTCTTGAGGCCTTGTGTAGTTATTCCTGGGCAGGAGGGTGTGAGGATAAGAAGGCTGGCCCACCTCTGGAAGTTGCACGGGACGACGGTGCACCGTTTCAGGCCTTTCACCTGCACTCGGTCTGCGCCCTACTGGAGTTGCAGCGGTGGTAGGAGTCCGAGACCCATAAACTTCCACAATGACTTGACCCGGATTGGTGATGATCGGCTCTTGGCCTGATGTGGCTGGAAGTTTGATGCCATTTCCATTATCATAGGGGTGATTTGGCAGATAAGGAGTGTTCTCCACAGAGGGCACATCCAGGTTCCCTGATCCACCTTGGCCAGGGTGTGGAAGTGTCACCAGCCGGGGAAGCTCATCTAGCAGAAGAAAGGTTACAAGCCATGAGGCCCGTTTCCCAATGCCTAAGCACATGCTGCATTCATTACAGAGAAAACTAGGCAGCTGCACCATCAAACACTTGCTTAATTTGAGCAATTAAATGTTAGCATCGTCCTCAAGGGGGCTACATGCTCCTGGAAAGCCTTATTGCAATTACTCTGTGGGGGCTACTTGGAGCACCTAAACGGGAAGGCAGAAGCATGTGTCTGAGGCAGCTGTGGTGCCTTTGAGACCTCTTCAAGACCCCTTATAAAATGAAGGAAGACGACTATGGTGCCATAAACACTTGTCTTCTTTACATTTAAAGATAAAGACATAAATACCGGTTTAGGCACTCTGGCTATGAAACATTTCAGGTCAAACTTCCTGAGCCTATTTGCACAATCAGTTTCCCTGTGTTGGTAACCCTACAACCCCCACCCCACCCCATCTACCATGTTTACTTGGGGCTTACACACTCCAAGCAGGAGTCTAGAGTTTAGTTTGGTGTTTATATATACCAGGGCTATTTGAGCTTAGAGACAATCCTTCTCTGACCCACCAACCCAACCTGGGCTGATTCCCCTAAGCAAAGGTCACGCCCCAACTGGAAAGGCCAACTACGCAGAAGACAGAATTCCTACCCTTGCCTTCAGCTATTAATCAGAGATGGTAACACCAGGGAACACACTGTGCCTGCCCCGGGTTTCTGAAGGTTTGCCTACCCTACACATTCAACTTTGAGAAGGATGCAAGGCAAACAACGTTGAGTGTCCAGGACACCTGATGTAATCCATGGTCTGAACAGAAGGGGTGCATCAGCCCCTAAAATTGGGGTAAACCGCCCCTTCACTGAAATAGTGAGTTATTTATAATGCTTCTGACATCATCAACTCTGCTCTCCACTCAGCTTATTTATGTCTCCCATCCTTGATGCACATCATGAAAGACCTATCTTTTCAGGATGATTTGCATGTATAGTTGTTGGTTTTTTGAAGAGAACAAGAATAACAGGGACATAATCCAAGATGTACTGGGGAAAAAACTCTATGTTTGGATTTTGTTTACATGTAACCCAGATGCTTAATTCTAAAACAAAACAAAGCACACATACACACACATCAGCATGCATTGACTGACACATAACATTCTATATAGGCGTCTGTTTGTGAACCCTTCCAAAGCCGGAGGTATGATCCAATATGAATTAAGCACTGGCAGGTTACACCAATTCTACAGAAGCTAGTTAAGTGTGCACTTAATCCAAGATGTACTGGGGAAAAAACTCTGTTTGGATTTTGTAACTCCTGTTGAAATAAAATTAAACACTGGGGCAGTGTTTTTACATTTATCTGGCCGTAAAATTTATCTAGGCAAAACATAATGAGGTACATTATTAAGCATGTGCTGGATTACTCTGTACAAGAATTTATTCTGGGCTGGTTTGTACTATAGTTTATAATGCAGCAGCAGCAAGAGGCTAGCAATCACCTTAATGGATCCATTTTCAAAGTACACAAGACCACAGAGTGAAAGCAGATTTATGTCAACTCCAGACAAAGCCATTAAATTGTATCTGCACTTTGTAGTTCACTTTTTTGCCTCTAGTGTAAAGCAACTTATTTAAACAACAGACAGGTATCAAACATACTTATAATAAAGAATGACAGATGCATGCTCCTGAGCCCATTTATGCAATTAACAGAAACAAAGGAAATGTTAAGTAATGCCATTAGGTTAATTGTCTGGCACCAGAATGATTGCGAATCAGAACAGAAGAGCCTTAAATGCCGCTTAGATGCTTAAGACTGTCAGTGCAATCCTAGGTGTCAACTCAGAAGTAAGAAGCAACCAGTTCAATGAGGTTTATTCCCAGGCAGGGTTACTGACAGAGGCTTACCTGTTCTTTTCCTTCCAATCAATGGTTCGCTCTTCTGATTGTTCTTCACAGCTGTTATGTAGATGATGTATTCTGTCCCTGGTTCCAGACCTGACAGAAGATGGGAAGAGCCTCATTTTGTAAAAGGCACTAGACTAGATCATTCAAGATCATTCTCACAACATGTTATGTATTCCCCCCCTCCCCAGGATTTCCACTCTTCAGCTGAGGCAGTGCCATTTAGAGAAGAAGGTGACCTGAGAGGATGAAGATTTAATGCTGAATTCCTTATTACATGCATTAATGTAATAGACTGTCCATTGTTTCTTGTTTTAATATTGCAGGCCACTCCATGCAGCGTGGCTGTAGTAGAAAACTGAGAAATAAAATAAATGAATGAGGTTGTCCTGGAAAAGTCCATCCTGTAGAAAAATGAAACCATGCATTTGGTGGGTGTTCCTAGGACCTGCTGAAGCTAAAACTGGCCCCATGTTATGGCCATGAATGTAGGGCTAGGCTGCTCCTCTTGAGGTTGGGCAGCTGGAAAGGTTGGCTACAGGTGGGAAACGATGAGACATGGACAAAACCTTTTTCCTTCTGTCAGAAAAGTGGGGTCACTCGGACCAGAGAGTAAGGTGTACCTGGAGCTTGGGGCACAGCCTGCAAGGCCAGATAATAAATGTTCAAAGCACTGAATTCACCCCATCTCCCAGCAGTAGCACCTTGACTTCCCCTCTTACAAAGGGTCAACATAGTTTCATTGGGACGTCATTCAGATCGCTCTCCAGAAAGCATGGCAGCAACAGTGAATAGAAGAAATGTCCAGAGTTCATACAGCTGAGATTTTCTGCTGATGCTGAGCAAAGAGATTGAATGCAAGAGCTGCTGTTTAGTGGAAGATGCTTTGTACTCAAAAGCACCCCTATTAAATCCTTGGCATCTTCAGGTAGGGTTTGGAATACTTTCTGTTTGATAATCTGGAGAGTCCTTGCCAGTCAGCGTGCTGTACATAATACTCCAACCTATGGTCTAACTGGTTGCAGTGTAGCTTCTCATGTTTGTATTTTGAAATTTGGAACACACTACACTGAAGCCTACACTCCCTACGATTGCTGAAGAAGTATGTCATAACAAGCCCACCTGTCTCTCTCTTACTGTGCAGTAGGACTTCAAGGCAGCCTCCGATTTCAGAACATTTACCCAAGAGCATAAGGAAAAGCCTTTCTGTGAGTCCATCTAGTCATACATCCTTTTTTCAACTTTGGTCACCTAGAATGTTTCCAGGAAACTCACAAGTTTCCTCTGAAGACAAGCACTTAGGAAACAGTCGTCGTTTAGCACTAACTCTCCCAGAACCCCCCCCCCAAGCCAATTTGGTCAGTGAGAGTGCTGCCTGAGAATCATAGTCCAAAGAAGCAGAACGTCCAAGCTCAGCAGCCTAGGTCAGCCCTCCTCTCTTTGTCAGAAATATCCTACTTCTAAACTCAGAGGTCGCATTCAGATATCCTCTCTAAAGGCTGCTGGGGGACTGGCATACATTCTGGGTGCATCACGTGGGCTCTAGCCTTGAAGGACCCCCTGTTCTCTCGTTCACCTGAACAGAGCATCCTCTCTGTCGGAGAGACCTACCTGTGATAGTGGCCTCAGTAGTGTCAGGACGGGGACGGGGAAACAGCTCCTTCGTTGGCCCTCCAACTCGCTCGTATTTGATGATGTATCCTGTGATCTTGGCCCGGGGCGGCTGCCAAGTGAGCAACAGGGAGTTGCTGGTGGTGGTCAGGAAGCGTAGGTTGGAGGGGGCATCAATGGCTAAGGAGCAAATAAAACAAGCCGGATTTCATTCCAAATTACATCAGATCCCCAAAGGGGACATCATGTAGTTTCCACATTATTTCAATCACTGCCTGCCAACGTTTTGCTTCGTCCTCAAAGAGAGGAAAAGCCATGGCTAGAACACACTATGAATGAGCTATAAGAACAAAGCAAAGGAAACCATCATTTCAGTTAATAGGACTTTCCAGAAAGTGCCATTACCGGTAGAAGCATCAATCACTACTGGAGAACTGCGAGCGTTGTCATTCAGGGTATAGATATAAATCTTGTAGTCGGTGCCAGGTTGCAAGCCTGTGATTCAAAATGAAATATTAACATGCATTAGCCTTGCTCGTAGCAAGCTCTGCTCCAAAGAACACTGCATCCCTGGAAGTCAATAAAAACAGGGTAGTAAGGACTTCAAGGAAATCAGCTCACAAAACATGGGCGTCCCCTGTCACTTTCTAGTGGTAATGTTGAAGAAATCTTGTAACATAAGGCAATTAC